TGGGGAGGAGGGGCAATGCAGGTCACAGAAAAATAGACAGCTTGATGACAGACTAATATACTTCAAATTTTACCACAGACAGGAAGGGAATGTGTAAAGGAGATCCAAGATTTTTAATGGTATTTTGTTTACACATATGTTAAATTACACATCACACTGAAGAGTTTTTACTTTTTCTTCTCTCAAAAAACACATAAGAACAAGTGAAATGTAGTGGACATTTGCATTCTGAGCTACTTGACTAGTCCTGTGTGGGTCTATTCGCACCCGTTTCTCATCGCCAGGAAACAGCTTGAGAATGTCGCACTTCACCATCACCCTCCCAAGCTCAAGTTCTAAATAGAAATTTAAAACCTATATTAAACTTTGTATAAATGATCTTCAATGGAGAAAATATTGTGCTCACAGTTCCTCTCTAAATTATTTTAAATCCGAGTGAGAAACTCTTCATGTCTGCTGTTGGACTCCTTTAAGAATGAATCTGAGCTAAAGGAAAAGGTAGCTACAGAAAACCACCCCTTTGCTCCTAGCAGGGCCCACCTGGCTACTGTATACTGACAGCAAGTACTAGGAAACAGGAACTGGCAGAGATGGAAGACAACAGTTTTTCGTCTCTTGGGAGAGGCACAAAGATTGACTAAACATTGTATGTTTCACTCTGTGCAATCTGCCTGGAATATGCGATTGCTTTCAAATGAGACACTGTAACACTACCTAAAAACTGAGCAGAGGCAACTGTAAAAATGTGAAAGTTTTCATGTTATAAAAACCAATATTGATTTTATTTAAAAGAAAAACAAACAAGTAAGAAAAAATAATAATGGCACATATGGTCTATTTATCTAACTAAATGGATTTGGATTTATTAACTGCTGTGGTTAAAGTATATTCTATTAACACTGGAATGGCGTAAAATTAATACTTTGCCCCGTTTAGCAGCAAAACAATCAGTTATTTGCCCTGTGGTACTGATCTGTAGACATTGTGAAAATAGCCTGTAATTTGCAGATCAATCATACAGTCTTCCTAAGACAGATCGAAGGCATGTGATTCCCCTCTAAAAACAGCTCTGGTCTATGAAAGGATGGTTCCTTGAAACATGGACTATATGAGATGGTCTAAGCTTTGAGGATTAGGTTCTTACAAAGTGAGTCTTCTATTTTAAGCATGGAAAGTAGTCTGATGTGCAATTACCACGCATATAAATAAGGAATCCAAATGCCAAGCATTTAAAGAGGCTACGAGTAAAACCTCTCCTATCCAACGAACAAAACCAAGAATAATGCAGGAGTGGGGCAGGGGGTCCCTCTCTTAAAATTAAAGATCGGGTCTTTCATTGCCTTTCTCCACACAGCTTTATTATGCTGCCCTGTTTAAACGAAGACACTAGAACACACGGAGATGCAGGCAACCCTAACCATTATCTCTGCTCTGCAACCTCGGGTGCATGAACGGATGGACACCAGCCTTATGGGACAACCGTTTCCTTCTTATCATTTCTCTACTTAGTGCGCACTCAAAAGCACCATGGTGACTTGGAAATACAGACGGCTAAGGTGCAGCTGCCAACGGACACTCCACAGAGACATTGGATTTAATGAGATAATGTTAATGCATTCTTCAAAAACAGCATAGAAGTGCAAAGGGCTGTCGATTGCCTGGCTCACTGGAGGGGAACATTGGTCTGGGTAATGGAAAGAGTGGACGCTGCAGCTGAACAGTGCTCGCCACCCTGCCATTTGCAAGGCAGGACCTCAGCAGCTCTACTTCATTGTTCACACAGCAGTAACAAATATCAAGAACACTGAAGGCTTACTCTTTGGCTTTTGACGTTTATTACCTAAGTTTATAACCAACAGATCCATCATAAGACTGATTCTATTCTACACCCCATTAGGACATGAAGAATGTAAGGGGTGGAACAATAATGAAACTGATCTAAGATTCTGTAGCTACTGGAGAACCAGAATTAAATTAAACTGATGAGAACTGAGCATCTCTTTCCCTTATTACTACTACTCTAGGAAAACAGCCCCATGGATTGAAGTTCCGCCCAAATGGGGACACAGTAAACTCTCTTATGTTGAAATCTCATCCCTAGAAGCAGGGATAGGTGTTGAGGCTGTATTATTGTACACGACATGAGGATCCCGGGATGTGCATCCCAGTGATGCAGCCATAGCTCCACTGACTTCACTGAAGACTCGATTTCATTCTCCATAAGGACTGTTTGTGTAAGGCTGAGAGCCCCGTGCCTCCTGACAAAATATCTAACACACACAACTCACCAGAGGAACGGCTTATGTGGACTCATGGTTTCAGTCCATGGTCACCAGAGTCCATTGCTTTTAGTTGGGATGGCCCAGTACCAAATGACAGGAGCATACAGAAGGCCTGGCTACCCCATAGCATCTGGGATGGGGCAGGAGATGGAAGGGAGTGAAGAAAGAAGGAAAGTGGGAGGGGGGAGACAGAAAACTGAGAGACAAGAAAAACAAGAAGTAGAAGGGGTGGTCCAAATAATACCACTTAAGGGCACGTGCCCAGTGACCCAGTTTCCCTCCTTTGAGTCCTACTTAATGAGGCATGGATAGCATCCAAGCCTTTAACACATGGTCTTAGCCAGGCAGTCATTTAAGATCAGGACCATACCACCCTTAACTGCAAGAAAGCCACAATTAAGGATGGCTGTGGTACCCTGAGTGCCCATGGATATAACATGTGTATAACAATAGAAATACCGCCACACTTCATCACGGTGTCTTTCCAACTGTACTCCTAGGGACAATTCTAACTAACCAATAGTTTGAAATAATGACAAGATGAAGGGTACAAATCAATACCGCTGTGTCAGGGCAAGGGTGCTCGGATCTAGCAATCACAACTATACCATCACATGATTCAAAAAATAACAGAACCCCGTGCCAATGGTTTTTATGGGTCATGATTTCCTATGGTTATCACAGGTATAAAATAATCAAACTAACACATTGCTATTGAGGTTGAAACAGTGTTACCAACCTTACTAGTTGGGGACAAGTGAAAAGAAAATGCAATTACAAGTAATAAAAATTAGAAATGTAATCATAGTACAGGATCCTTTCTGTATTATAATACACTACTAAATGCTATATATTAATGTAAGCTTAAGATGTTATATACATGTATTTATAGATACAAATATAATGGAGAAAATACTTTGTATATTCCTTATTATCCCATAAATTACTAATTATCCCTAAATTCTGTTTCTCTATGTCACTTCTTCCTGGGCCTCCTCAAACTCTTCCTTCTAGTTAATCTACCCTGTGCAGAATTTATTCCAAAACGTTCTACATAAGGCAAGAAAAGTAACTCGATTTGTCATTTGAGAGAAGTCCCCAAAGAAAGGCATGGGATTAACTCATGTAATATCTAGAATGATAATTTCTGCAAACCATTACAGGCTGACATATGGTACCAGGTAACTACAGAGTAGATGGTATACACTTGCCTTAAGATGGTAGGAGCTTGACTGTTGTCTACAGCTCTCAGTTTCTCTTCCATAACACTAGATCGGGAGGTTCTCTGGGGAGTCAATGGTGGAGCTGTGACAGGCAAACCCACTTTACAGTAACAAGTGACGATCACAAGCGAGGGTTTGGGGCTCCAAAACCAAGTTTCAGAGAGGCTGCAGTACTATTACTTCTGCTTTATTGACACTGGATCTGCTCGGTAGCACAAAACATAATGAAACTTAAGTGCCAACGCTACTGGAGCAGCTCAGTGGCTTTGCTGGGTCTGTTCCCGCAGAAACTTTGAGCTCAGCGCTTGTTAAATGCCATGTGTTTTTAGGAAGGTAACAGAATCAAGCTTCCTTGCCATCTCCCTCCCACTCTCTAAACCCTTAGGGCATCAATGTCCAAAGATTAGTAAGTGTCGGTAAAGTCTGAAAATTATTCCGTTTCAAAAGATCACAAAATATTTTCACAGCGCTAAGTGCCAGCCAGCCCTGAAAGTCTGAGTTCCAATTACATTTTTGTGAGTGAAAAGCAGCAAGCATCCTGGATGCAAAGGCCTCTTCGACAAGCTGCATGTTGAAAATACCCCATCCCAGGGAAGCGGTACTAGACAGAGGTGAGAGCTGGCGAAGGCAAGGGGCTCATCTGGTCGTTGCCCTCATGAGTGAAACCTGTGGTGGTCCCACAGGCTCAACACCCAGGACTTCTCAGCTCTAGGAGGAGGAAAGTAAACGTCTCTTTCTGAGGCCACACAGTCTACTGGATTCACTACACTCAAACTAAGGCAAATACTTTAGTCCAAAGCCAAGAACTGCCTTGGCTTTGAGTCGAGGGTTTCCTGAAAATGAGTGGCCTTTCCCTCTGAGGATCAACGCCTAGCTGTTAAATGCTAAAATATTTCCATCGGGAGCAAACTGTGAGACGACACCTGGACAGCGCTCATTCTTCTCTGAAATGCTTTGTGAACCTGCCGACTTAGAAAACTTCTCACGAGCACAGGCACGTCCACAGACATCTCTAAGAGAGTGAAATACAAAGGGTTTGCAATGATAAATTTTTCTAACTCCAAAAACAATTTTTTTTTGAGTGGTTTTCTGAGACAGGGTTTCTCTGTAGCTTTGGAGCCTGTCCTGGAACTCACTTTGTAGACCAGGCTGGCTTCAGACTCACAGAGATCCGCCTGCCTCTCCCTCCCGAGTGCTGGGATTAAAGGCGTGTGCTACCACCGCCCGGCCAAACAATCTTATTTTTTTTTAAAGAAAAAGGTATTTGTTTTGTTTTATTTCTAAAAATAAGTTAAATGATTTCATATTTGCTTGCTGGGCACTCTTAACTCAATAGAGTCTTTGTCTAGTTTTCTCTCTTCCAAAATATTCAACCATGAGAGAAAATGCATAAACTCTCACTACAAACACCACCTGCCGTCATCCGCACATTGTGCAGCTGTGTTGAAGGCTAGTCCTTCCGGGTACCCCCTGATATATGGGGGGGGGTCCTTACCGAGCTGGGGCTGGAGTGCCGCCGCACTTTGGGTGACTCTTTGCCAGCCAAGGAGGACTTGAAGTTAATGCAGGCATTATTCTCAGAATGCACCCTTTTGACTTGGTTGGCAGGCTTCTCGAATGGGTCGAAGGTGCTCTGCGTCCTCTGGACTCTGACTTTTTTGTCCTCAGGGATGGTGTCCAGGTGCTTGATCACTGAATCTGTCCCCTGGCAGTTCCGTGTAGACATCTTTGTGACACATATCTGGAATAGAGAAGGGATGACTTGAGTGAGCCTCACTGAAACAACGCAATCACTACACGCACTGATCTGGCCAGGGCGCGTTTCAACTCAGAAAAGCCCACTTTATGAGCTGTATTCACAATACAGAAAATTACTTATAACTGTTCTGTGTAGATTCGCAGTTTGCACGTTAAAAAAAAAGAAAATTTATCTACCTAATAAAAAACAAACAAAAATACCTTATGGCATAGGCCGTGTATCCTACAAGGTTCTGAATGCTCAGGTTTTATCATCTGACTGCAAATGGGTATTTCTAAATCATGAAAGGAGTGGAAAACCCATTTCACAAAACAAACAAACAAACAAAGCCACAGTTAGCAGGGATGGGATGGGTACCTACTGACCACAGCAGGAGCTGACAGAAGCAGGAGCTAAAGAAAGCTAAGGAGGATGGGGCTACTTTGTTTCAAACGTTTACCTCTGAAGATGCAGGTTGAAAATTTCCACCATCTTGATTGACTTCACTCCACTTGACAAATTCATAAACATGCAATGCTAATATATGTAATATATAGTATATATACATATAAAATACATATACATAAACATATAATACTAAAAGAACGCAGGAAAGAAGAACGATATAAAGATATAAGCTTTGAATCAATCTTAAGATACTTAGAGGAGTGGATGAAATCTAAAATAAGAATAAAATTAAATAATAATTCAATATCAAAATGGAAATAAAAAACACTAATGAATAAAAATTAAAAACAACGTTAAAACTTGACAAACATCTACGTAGACTGACAAAGAAATGGAAAAGACAACCTCAATTTCTTTTAATCTAGACTGCCGTTACTTGAATTGGAAATAAATCAGCCTGCCACAGTAGTTTTGCAGTACCACGCTCTTCAGGCACCCTACTAGCAGACCATATGTGAGAGGCATTACTTCTCTTTTTAAGATTTTTTATTTTAGTTTAGATGTATGCATATTTTGCCTGCATATTATGTATATGCGCCACATGCATGCTCAGTGCCCACAGAGCCCAGAAGATGATGTTGGAACTGGAGCTGCAAACACTTGGAAGCTGCAAAGTGGATGCTGGGAACATCCCAGGTCCCCTGCAAGAGCAGCAAGTGCTCTTCACTGCTGAGCCTTCCCTCCTGCATCTAAGCCTCAACAATCCTTTGGCTAAGTCCATGGAAGGCAGGGCCACACCATGGTATTACAGCCTATCTCCAGTCATGCTCAGTCTTCTTGTAATAAATCTTATACAAAAGATTCATCCAAATAACTAATCATTATATTTTATTTAAAAAAAAAAAAAGCTAAGGCTTCAAGACATTCATCCAAAAGCTATTGTTTAAAAAGCACAATGCTGCTACAAAGATAACAAATACATATGTTCATAAATAGCTATCATCAAGATCCTTCTGCTGAAGGTTTTAATAGGTGGACTCTAAAACAATATCTGAATCTCTTGCCTTTGAATAATCCTCTCCCTTTTCTATGCAAATATAATATGATGTCATATGATAATATTGTTTTATATACAAACACTAGATTACCTGGTGGGGTGAACAAAGCTAGGAGAGCCCTCCAAAACCAAGAAAGACAGAACGCTCAGGGCCGGCTAGTCTGAAAGGCAGCCATGACCACGCTGAGAACTGAGTGATACAACCATAAGGTATATCACAGTCTTGGCCTGACAACTGCCAGGAAAATGGGGACCACAGACCTGCACACACAGTAAAACTAGTTCTGTCAACAAGGAAGAGGACGTTGAGCTCCAGGTGAAAGCCACCACCCAGACAACACCCTGACTTCAGCCTGGTAAGATCCCAGGCAAAGAAACGCTATTGAAACTGTGAATAATAAGCCAGTGCCTGTGAGGGACTGTTACCCAAGGGTAAAAACCTATTATGTGCACTTTGCTGAAACAGCCTGAAGCATTCTGATACCTGAGCAGAACCTACAAAAAGAACAAAAACAAACAAGCAAAAACACTGCCGCATAGACCACTAAACAAATTTGATACACTGTATCAAATCCAGGCGGAAGTAAGCAACGGTTGTCACGATTGCTGTCACTATATATGGCTATGTACTGGGCATCATCAACTGTAGCTTCACGAGTTACAAAGCTCATCAACAAGTTTCTCCACATAATTAAGGTCATACCAAATTTATCTGGTCTCCAGTTCAGCCAGGCTGCCACAAAACATACAGGTAACCATACCTTCTCTGTGCACGCATCTTCATCAAGGGAAGAAATGTACACTGAGTTTTCCACATAGCACAAAGAAACTCTTCTAGGTAGGTTTCATGTTTCCAGTATTTAGGACACAGGACTTAAACGTGATCTGCCCAACATGATCTGTTGTCTATGAGCACAACAGAAAGCCAAGCTCACTCGGGTCCTCCTGACATACCTGGGCTCAGCTCTGCTGCCCTCACACACTCCTGTGGGAGTTCTCCTGGAGACCCCGAATTAAAGAACTCTGGTTCAGAGAAGGACCCAGCAAGGTGAAATAATCGCAATGCCCACGCCTTGCGGGAAGCTGTAATTTCCACTAGCTCTTAGCATGAAACCATTGAGTGATACAGACCCAGCAGAAGAGGCCTGGATGACAGGTTACACGTAGGTGCTATCCCCCTGCACCCACATCTTCCTGTGAGCCCCTCCGTAATCTGTTAGCAAGTATGAATCGTGATCACAGATATAACCTTATAAGTAAGAAGAGTCAGAAACAGAACCCCACACCTCGCAGAGGAGACTTCTCCAGCCCGTAAACAGTAACCCTTTCATCCATTTCCAGCTCATCCCACTGCGTGCCTGTATTCTGGCTGATGTTATAGCTCCCACTGAAAAAAATAGCTTCCAGCTCACAGGACATAAGTGTCGGTGGTGGGTGGGAGAAGAGATTAAAGAAGAATCAAGAGAAATGGAGCCTAGGAAACATCCAGCTATTGACTGGAAAGCTAGAGGCCTTTTTAAAATAGCACAAGAACGTTAGTCGGATAAGAGAATCGGCCTAACAGAGCTCCCACTGATGATACAGTGGTGGGTTATTCAACTATCAAAAAGAAACATAATATTGTGTTTAAATCGAATGAGTTACCGAAAAAGCATGAGTTCAATGTGATTTCAGATGACAAAAGCCACTAAAGTAGGAATAGCAATTACAATAGGAAAGGATGAATCCAATCCAATATAACCAATTTTAACACAGAAAATGCTGAACGGCCAAGTAGTGCTAGACCAAGCAGGAAATTTACCAAAGACATGGAAGGATGCTCACGGGTCAGGTGGGGTGGGGTGGAAGAGGGGGACAAGCGGGTGGTGCCAGTTTAGACACAAGAGTAACATGGTCTGCTCGGGGAATAATGACCAGGGCAATATGACAGTGCCGTGAAGGACAGGCAATGTTCCCCAAATGACATATTCCAAAGTGCACATCCGTGAGACAGACAACAAACTGCGCAAAGAAACACCCACATATGGAAGGCAGTCTTTAAAACAAGTTAACGTTTAACAATATATGTGAAATAACCCCTAAGAAGAGAACTCAGTTTGGCTTCCATTCTGTGGTTCAAGTCTGAGTCACTTAGTTTTGATAAGACAGCTAAGACCCCCAATGATTAACAACTAAGATTCCATAACCTATGCTACTGTACAACTATAAAGATAACATAATACCAAGAACACACAAGAAAAGATTGTTACTAAGCTTCCTGGGGAGGCATGCTAAGTGAGTAAGTACATGCTACTGTACAACTATAAAGATAACACAATCCCAAGAACACACAAGAAAAGATTGTTACTCAACTTCCTGGGGAGGCATGCTAAGTGAGTAAATCTATAATGCTTAGGAAGGTTCCAAAAATGAAACGAATCCAACCCTTAGTATCAGTGTTTAGAATAGGACATGCATAAATATGGCAATCATATTTACAACAACCATCTTCATGTTATGTGCTTTATTTAGAGTTTATGAAGTATGTTAGAATCATGGAAATTAGTCTGTGAAAGGAGGGCAATTTGATTAAGTCAGTAATCAGAGATTAAATATGGAGAAAGAAAAATGTTAAAGATTTAAATATTTATATATGTGTGTGAGAGAGTATGAAAGAGACACTGAGAGAACAAATGTGTGAGTGTGTGTGTGTGAGAGAGAGGGGGGGGAGGGGAGAGACAGAGAAGACATATGTGGGTACCCACAGAGGTCAAGCACCTCAGAGCTGGTTATGGGCTGCTGTGAGCCGCCTAACATGGGTGCTGGAAACCAAACACTGGTCCTATACAAGAGCAATGAGCACTTTTAACCACTAAGCCATTTCTCCAGACCTAAATTAATTTTAATTGATTGTATTAGCGACACATATTTTTAAGACTATGAGTGCTTGGCCATGTACAAAGACAGCCCACTGAAGCTGCTCCAGGCACAGGAGACTTGGGCCATTCCATAGATCAGCAGCTTTTACCATTTGATGCATAGACTTTGGCAGTGGCCTTCCTCCCAAGGGAAGCCACAACTGTGCTAAAAATTCCCTCTGCCCAGAAGCCCTTGATGATTCAGACACTTAGCCAGCTTTATTAAGAATCCCTTCAGCGACTGCATTTAATCTGCTATATTTTGTGTCCTTATATTGCAACGCTTCCTTTTAATTAACTATCTTAACAATCTATCTCCTCCATAGGGCGATGACTTTATCTTATATTCGTTTGACAACTCTCAAAACCAATTTGTCTTCAGAGGTCCTCTTGAAGAATCTAACTAATATTTGCTTACAAAGTCATGAGGAACAGGATGCTTCTATGGTTTCAAAGTGGTCTTCTCAAATCTTGGGGCCAGGAGAAAACATCTTGGGTACATGCGCCTGAGGCGGATCACGGTAAACAAGCACACTATCGCCCCGTGTGAGAACAAGACATGCCAACACTAATGGGAATTAAGAATCTATTTTCTCCAGCTGCAGTGCTTCACACTGCATTCACAAACAGAGGTGACAAGA